GCAGGCTGCTTGCTGCGCTGCTGGGGTCTAAGCATATCTTCTGATCTTCTGTAGCTGTACTGCCGTACCGCCGTACCTGCCGTACCTGGTGTTTCGTGCCTGCTGAATAAGTAGCGGTGTTCAATACAGCGGCCGGTGCCGCTCCTCTCTCTCTAACAAGCAAAATCCCGGGGGGACATGTCTGCAGTGTGGTCTGCTGCGTTGCGCGTGCTTTGCGGCCTGTCGGCGGTGGTTATGCATGGTTATGTATGTGCTGGGCTGTGTTGTTTCGCTGCTGTTTTGAGTTTGAAAGTGGGTTTCTGGTTGTGTGGTTCTGGAAGCGTTTGAGTCGTGTAAGTTGTTATTTGCAAGTGCGTCGTGCAAATAGGGGTAGCCCTCCTCCTACACGGGTTTCGACATTTTCTCGGCGTTACTACGACATGCATCTAATTGCGAGATATTCTCTTCCATACTAAACTCCTAGTGGGAACTTTGCTGAAATGGGGTGAAAGGCTTCAATTCTTGGCCCATCCGACCCACCCATATCAAGACATGCTTCGTGCGGTTCCAGACTAATTGGGCTGGAATCAACTCTTCTTCCCCGTGAACGTACTTTCAAATTCCCTACTTGCTGAACCATTCTGCCCAAGATGATCCCGACTACCGCCTCAACCAAGCAGGATTCTAAACAACACTGGAATGCCACCGACAGTCCCACAGAAAACCAGAACCTTACCCCTGGCCCATAGGCCCTGCCGAGGACACCCAACGCTGCCCAACCCTGGGACGCCACCTACAGCCCCATAGAAAACCAGAGTCTTACCCCTGGCCCATAGGCCCTGCCGATGACACCCAACGTTGTTCTTCCTCCTCCCGAACTGACCGGTATCACCCTGTCTCTATAAAGACCATCACATGTCCTGTCGCTTTCGGCTATTCCTATTGGTAAACTTGAAATGTCGTATTCGGCTAAGATCTGAAGAGCACACCAGGATTGCTATCATCTGCAGATCGTTTATAGCTGGGGAATGACATGATTCTGTAATCACCGACCCACCCAACTCTGCTCCACGCCAAAATAAAATAATGTCGTCGCCTATAAAAATAACTCATGCNGCTATTCCTATTGGTAAACTTGAAATGTCGTATTCGGCTAAGATCTGAAGAGCACACCAGGATTGCTATCATCTGCAGATCGTTTATAGCTGGGGAATGACATGATTCTGTAATCACCGACCCACCCAACTCTGCTCCACGCCAAAATAAAATAATGTCGTCGCCTATAAAAATAACTCATGCAAAAACTGGGGCTCAACGACACCTCCGATACGAGGCATATCCGATACTATGCCCTACCCAATTGCTTGACGAACAAAAATATAAACACATACACACAAGAAGGAGGCTTCTAGGCATGTCCGATACCATGCCCTACCCAAATTCTTGATGAAACGAAACATAAAACATACACACAAGAAGGAGGCTTCTAGGCATGTCCGATACCATGCCCTACCCAAATTCTTGACGAAACGAAACATAAAACATACACACAAGAAGGAGGCTTCTAGGCATGTCCGATACCATGCCCTACCCAAATTCTTGATGAAACGAATCATAAAACATACACACAAGAAGGAGGCTTCTAGGCATGTCCGATACATACAATGCCCTACCCAATTGTTTGACGAAGGTCAACATGAAAACACATACAAGAAGGAGGCTTCCAGGCATATCCGATACCCCGCCCTACCTAATTGCTTGGCGAAACATACAAATAGATACCTACAAAAACAATGAAGGGTGATAGCCAACTCCCCTCACTATGAGTACATACATCACACAACTTGCATCACCGACACCGTCGATAGTTCGATACAACCATATCAGAGGACACCTAAACACCACGCTGGCCCCAGAGGTAGTGGCGGTCCCAGAGAGCTCCCAGCCCGGAAGATTAGATGGTCGATGGTGCCAGGGAAGGCCGACGTGCCGACGTGCCAGAGGTCCTTCCCGAGCTTGCAGACGAAGAGGGGAGGTCGATCGACACATGATTCCGAGTCGAGCCCTGCACCCTTGCTGGAGAAACTCCTTCCAATGGAACACCAGAACTAAGACGGGAGGTCAACACCGTGGGAGGGTGGGTCGCGACCTCGATCCCACCCGGGGAAGCACCACACCGACGGAACACAAAGACTAAGACGAGAGATCAACACCGTGTGAGGGTGTTTTTGTTGTTGTTGTTGTTTCTCACATTAGCTCTAAAAAAGAAAGATTGGGAGCCCGTGGTCTCAAAACCCGGCATACACGATCCCACGAAGAAACAGAAAAAAATAGGCTACAAAAACCACTCGGAAGAGAAAACAAAATGATAGAAAGAAAGACCAGCTACCGCACCAAACGAGAAAGAGCGTCGAGGAGACCGATCAAAATAAAATATAAGGAGAACGGGGA